CCTGCTCATTGACATCAAAAGGAAATATCTCTAATATGTCTCCAAAATGACTAAAATGTCTCTACAATGCCAAAAATGTCGAAAAAATTGCTACAAATTCTAAAATTACAAAAAAAAAAAAATAATAATAATAAAATGTTTAAAATATCCCCGAAATAGTTTTTAGTTAAATGTAACAAGAGAGACAGAAAACTGGTGTGAGTATCGTGTCAAAGGCTCGCATTCTTTTCATCTTGAATACAAAAGTTACGAGTCCCTCACGAGTACGACCTACCTATAACAAATTTTATTTCCTTTTCAAACGTGTTTAGTGGATTAAATCACCCGAAAGAATCGCTATACAAGAACCTTATCGGCGAGAGGTTTACCGATACCTGATTCGGAAAATTACCTCGATAGAACTTTGGGCCTCATTAACACCTGCTCCAATAGATGCCACACCTGTACCTTCTTGTAGCATTCTGTAGGCTTAATATTCCCTCTATATTAAACTTAAGAAACTATTTAATTAGTCTTGTTCACGTATTTTAGTACTACTTATATACACAAAAGACAGAGCAGATTTTTAGTATAATATTTCATCTTTGTTGTATGAATATATCTTACCCAAAGAGTTACAGCCAACACCTGTTCACTAATTAACTATCGCGAGATATAAAAGAGTAAATACAAACACCACTAACCTTACCTGTAGGTCATCTAACAGTATTACCTCTCAAAATACACTAATTAATTACCTTATCATCCAGGTACAAAGATATTAATGAACAAATATTTACAGTCAACATTTGATTACCAATATTCTGTGTGTGTGTGTGTGTGTGTGTGTGTGTGTGTGTGTGTGTGTGTGTGTGTGTGTGTGTGTGTGTGTGTGTGTGTGTGTGTGTGTGTGTGTGTGTGTGTGTGTGTGTGTGTGTGTGTGTGTGTGTGTGTGTGTGTTGGCTGTTGAAGACACACCCACAAAAGTAAACTCAAACACAATTAACTTCTCATGTATGTTATCTCATACTAGACTAAATAATCAACCCCATCGTACAGGTTAGCCCTTAGGAGTCACCCACCAACAGGTCTAGGTCTCTCTCTCTCTCTCTCTCATCTATCTCTCTCATCTATCTCTCTCTCATCTATCTCTCTCTCTCTCATCTATCTCTCTCTCTCTCTCCCTATCTTTCCTCACTCATCTATCTCTCATCTATCTCTCATCTATCTCTCCCTCTCTCTCATCTATCTCTCTCTCATCTATCTCTCTCTCTCTCTCTCTCATCTATCTCTCCCTCTCTCTCATCTATCTCTCCCTCTCTTATCTATCTCTCTCTCACTCATCTATCTCTCTCTCTCTCTCTCTCTCAACTATCTCTCCTCTATCTCATTTATCTCTCACCGACTTTTAAGGTCTGTAAACGGAACATCTGCAACAGGATATTATCAACTCAAAGCTGTGCACTGGGCTACACCTGAGGCGCCTCTTTGTGTGTAGTACGTGCTTCAGGCCTTGCTGTCTAGGTTAACATGGTCCTAGTTACAGTACGTGAGAGAGAGAGAGAGAGAGAGAGAGAGAGAGAGAGAGAGAGAGAGAAGAAAAGTTATACAGAGAGATATTGTAAAAAAAAGATAAAAGAGAGGAGTGGGAGAATGAAAGAAAGGTGTAGAGAAAGTTATTGTAAAAAACTAGAAAGAGAGAGTACGATAAAGAGGTAAGGAATGAGATAAGTAACTGAGAAAGTGAAAGGGAGTGAGAGACTGATAGGGAAAGATAGAGAATGAAAAGGAAAGAGAGAAAGAATGAGAGAGAATAAGAGAATGAAAAGAGAGAAGGAAAGAGAAAAATGGCTTTTATTTGCTACAGTTAGGTGAGTCCTCATCCTTTCTCTTTTTGTTTGCTTTCTCTCTTTTCCTCTTTGTGTCTTTTTTCTCTCTCTCACTTTCTCTATATCTTTCTTCTACTCCTCTCTCTTACTCTTACACACACAATGAATAAACAATCGGGGTGGCTGGTCAGTACAGACAGGGAGGATCCTCAAAGTGGCTGTGTGCAGGGAGGGGACGGCCACAGTTTCCCCGGGTCATGGGAGATCAGACGGAGGTAAGCGTGTGATTATGCATATTTCATTTCACCGTTCAGAATTTGTCTTTGGGGAAATCAGAAGGGGGATGGCGAGGAATATCTTAAGTCACCTCTGACAAGCAAACTTATTTATGTGACTCTCATAAGCGTAATGGTGTGCGGCGGTCGAGAGGATACAGCACTCGTTTCCTGTCCTTTGGGTGGCTAACACGCATTCACGCACCCAGACCCCCACCCCACCCCTCAATTTGCCGAGTTATAAATGGGTACTTGACTTTACAGTTTGGGAAAATGATAGTGATCGAGTGTAATGTCTGCCATGTTGCTTCCTTGTGTACAAAAAATAAAGGCTAAGTTTACAGTGTGTTGTTTCCACACTTCCCTTAGGGTCATCACGCACCCTACCATCACGAGCCTACATATAAACAAATACTTCCCTACACAGACACAAAAAAATTAGTATCTGTTGTTGCCGTTGTGTTTATGGCCACTCTTAGCCAGGATCTTGAAGCAGCGTTAAGCGGGTCGTAATAATTTCTACACTAGACAAGACACAACTTTTCAAGATTAAGTAAGAATGTCTTTCTGTATTGTATATTGTTTGCTTAAAAATTCTAACACCACAAGTTCTAAATCCCTCGTTAATATTCTCTTTAGATGCGACGCCATAATATTTTGGAGTCACGAAACCAACACATTAGACCTACGACGCCCACACATATTAAATGAGCTAGAACGCCAACTTATAAGATCCACCACACCAACATATTAGCACTACGACGACATGACATTTACAGGGGTTACGACGCCAATATATTTGACCTTCAACGACAATTTATCAGACGAGAGACGAAGCCCAACATATTAGAGGAGCTAATACGCCAACATAATAAAGGGGAGGGTGCCATCATGGGGTACCCAGGAGAGGGAAGGGGATAGAGGGGAAGGGGGATAGAGGGGAATGGGGGAGGGGAAGAAACCCACCATATTGCTTCGTTGCTTGTAATTGTTGACAGGGATGACAAGTCTCTGGAGAAAATTGCCTCCATGATTGCCTTGTGTGTGGAGGGGAACGGGGAGGAGTGGAGTGAAGATGGGGATGAATGGGAATGAATGGGGACTGGGGAGGAGGTTAGTTTAGGGAGGAATGAGTTTGGTATACTGTGGAAATCTGGCGAGAACTGGAGACTGACGGGAAGAGAAACGGAATCGGGATGATGGTAGACCGGGAGGAGTGGAGTAAACTGGGGAGGATTAATTGTATCTAGGGAGTAGTAAAGCCTGGGGAGGAACAGAGGTTGGGGGAAGAATATAGTAAGCACCCAATGTAACTTCATAACACAAAGGATAAATATGACTGCCAAGTGAGTTTTCTGTCTCATAGAGTTGGTCGACCCTGCCTCCCCCTCCACCAAATAAAATATCATAAAAACGTCCATGTTACCATTCTTTACACCTGTGTATAAGAGATGATGCAACTGTCTTTCTCATGCTGAGGTGGTACTGCTCAATGAGAACCAATTGTGTGCATGTGTCAGCTATTGGCGAGAAGTCCTACCAAACCGGGATATTATCCATGTCGATATATAAAAAGATATAATACTGTTACTATGAAAATCGCGGCCACACACTCTAGAGGCCTATTGGTAATGATATATAATGCACAATAAATACGATTTGTGTAACGTCATATATATCTAATCATTAAGAAAAAAAATCCGTCTTTCTTTCATAACATTTAATTAATCATAATTATAATATACACGTAATTCTTAGTATTTCTCATTGACTTTTCCTTGTTCCAACTGTAACAGGTTATTAAAGTAATACTGTATCGTGTTATTATCATGGGCACATGCCTTCCAATGTGTTTGAAAGCGGTTCAGGCAAGAGTTAATCTACGACCAGGCTTCATAGTGACATATAAAATATTAATAACGGTTTTGGTCTTAGAGTCAAACAAGTGTGAACTGTATGAACAAGACGTTTTACGTGTTGACAGTGCAGGTGGTAGGGAGGTGGCCTACACCACATTTAATGTTCCCTTGTTTTCAAAGTTTGAAATATTTCATAAAAATTAAGAGAATCAAAGCTCGTTCGTCTAGCACCTTTGACTTAGACTGACTAAATTATTTAATTCACGCTTAGGTTTTTCAAACTTGTGGCTTTCTATAGGCCTAAAGTAACTTGTGGTAATCCTGACATAGCAAGGCTATGCAGAATAAAAGCGTGAAGGTCTCTAGTAAATGTAATTATTTGAAGGATATTTGCCTAATGCTTAATCCATCATAAATTGTATTTACCGACATGTACACAGGCAAACACTGTTACACTGTTACAAATGGACGAGTCATTTCATAAAGTTTCACACCTTACAACGAGGTCAAGCAACCACCAGCCAGCCAATGTGGGTGTACCAGGCCCATTAGTCCCCAACTGTACATACTGTAGGTCACGTCACCTCTAACCTGTGCTTCTCTCTCACAACTTCCTGCCTTTAAATCCAACATCTCCACCTCTTCCTCTTCCTCCAACCTCTCACACTGTCCTCACACACCTTCCCAACACCAGTATTTCCTCCCTCGGGTAATATTTTTTACCGAGGAAATAGGATTTGGGAAAGTTTGACGCCCCGTGTGAGCTTGAGAATCGTCGACGAATACACCTGAACAAGCGTAAAGCTATCTAAATAAGACTTTTTTTAGCGGATTACACAGGCAGTACGGTTTACGTTCACCCCGGATTTATTTATTTTTCCTTGTTTTTTTTTTTATTTCTTTTCTTCACATTTTTTTACGGTTTTGAGAACTGTTGTGTATTTTGAGAGTGTGTGTTGGGAGGGGGGGTCTAGCCAGAGAATGTTACTCAATACTGGTCGACGGGGTGACAAAGACGACAGCAGGTCTAGGGTAATTCATGCGCTTCTCACCTGTGTATAAACGCCCACGACCACTCCACTTTGGTTCTATTTCACTCCATGATGCTGTGTAGCGGTGACGTCTGTTACCTGGCGTTGACGTCATTTCCTTGGGCATAAACTTACCTTCTTTGGCTTTGACGTCATTCAATTGGCGTTGACTTCTGCTTAGCGATGTCGTCTCTTCCTTCGAGTTGACGTTTCTTTCAAAATTTCAGAACTCCTTTTCATGAAGTAGGACAAAAATTTAGAATTCCATATATAAGTGATAAATAACTTTTATACTAATTACTAATTCATTATAAATAAACTCATCTCTCCCCAAAAAAACATTAACTCAGATGCCCAAAGAATTGACTAAATATAACACCACAAAATTCTGAAGAACAAAACAAAACTCACTTGCTAGAACACTGTCAAATTCTGATGACAAGAAACTTACATATCAGAGCATTGTCAAACTCTTATGAGAAGTTGGTTTTATGGCATCAACACCGACCTGTTTGTCTGGTATAAATAAAACTCGTGTTGCGGAGCAGCGTGTTAAGAGTATCGTCTACCTACCCATCGCCCATCACTAAATTATCGAAACTCTACGTATGAGGACTGGTGCAGGTGGAGGTGTAAAAGTGTACAGGTATTGAGGTGTTGAGGTGTAAATATGTAGAGGGAAAAAGTATAAACGTGCTGAGGTGTCGCGTTCAGATGTCTTGCGTGAATGTGTAGCTTACTTTCATCGTAAGAAATTTGCAGAGGTGTAGAGAAGGTTAAAGTATAGAGGCACGGTGAGATAGGGAGCGAAGAAGAATGTTAAGTGGTGACTGTGTTGCTCCTGAAGGGAATTTACTTTCTTGTAAAAATCCTACCTCCACTAAGTCAGGTAAAACCCCGTGACCTTTTTTTAATACGCAACAGTTGGCCAGCATAAGAAAGGCATCCAGTGATCCTGTGTGTGAAGGGGGTGCGGGGTCAGAATAGCAACGTTTAAGAGCTACAACAACAGATCTGGTCACTTTACCGACACGAGTATGCCGTTTGAACATCTCAAAATAGGTGTAAGGTTAAGAGAGAAGCTCGCCACGCGTCACCACTCCTACAGTATATGTCTTCTACCTTTAGGCGAATAATGTCGTGATTTACAGATAATTATAATACCATCAAACTGTGTCTCGTGTATGTGTGTAACCAAGTCCTGTATCTTTGAATAGAAGAAAAGCCGCTTAACAGAAAGTATACAGTAAATACTCTAAGATCTATCTATTATAGCTTACAAGGAGAAGTATCGAGCGTTTTAGACAATGATGAGCCTTGTTGAGCTGCTTAACTGTGGAACAACAAGTACCTCGTTACTGTCTCACTGTCCTTCTTCTACTACGTATATATATATAGACCCTATAATGTATGTGTGCGTGTGCGCGCGCGCCAAACTAAATAAAATATTCCTGTCTTTAGCCTTAATACAGAAAATGAGGTGTCTTGAAAAATAAAAATAAAATATATTTTTTGTCGTATCGTCAGCTTTCGATGGGACAAACAAGAATCAGCCAGGAAGAATTATAAAATAGGTAAGTTCAGTTGTTGGCAAGTTCAAGCTATAACTTGGGGGTAAATTATGTACAACTTCAACTCACAACCCAAATGTCAGAATGTTAGAGAAGTTCACGGCAATGACTGCATACAAAAACAGATACCCCAAAAAATACTTCTTTAGAAAGACGAAGTTGAGAAATGGAATGAAACGCGAATAGTAGATTGTAGATGAAAATATATATTCAAATAGAGAGGCTATACAGTCCGTAATTATAAGGCTAGAATAGTCTTATAAAGGAAAAGAGGGGCGTCGACGAGGTTGAGTGTGTTGACTCTATGAAAGAGAGAGAAATACAGAAACGAAAATGAACTCCATGGAAAGAAAACTAAAACAAAAGTTAGAATTCTCGCAAAAGGAGATTTTCAGCTGTATGTGGATGGTTGAGTGGGTGAAGCAGGGGAAGGGAGAGAGTTAGTCTTGCTCTGAGGGACTTATGCTTTGTACTTGGCTAATGTCAACACGAGAGGAGAGTCCATGAGAGGGTGAGAGAAAGTTTTGAAAGTTAATAGAAGTGTAAATGGTGGTGGTGATGATGGTGGTGATGATGTTGGTGATGATGTTGGTGATGATAGTGATTGTTTTAGTGGTTAAATTGATGGTATTGAAGGTTTTGACGTTCAAGGTTATTAAGTAATGGTGGTAATGGTGACGGTGATAGTGATAGTGGTAATGGCAACGGTTGTGGTGACGGTGGCTGTGATGGTGGTAATGGTGATATTGGTGACGATGGTGGTGATGGTAGTGGTGGTCGTGATGGTGGCAATGGTGATAATGGTGACGGTGGTGGTGAGTTGCCTTACACATCTGACTCATTAATTGTATTACGCAAACCTTCTTAATATTTTTTTAATTAACCCGCTGGTCCTGGATATCAGTGGTGTCAATTTCATTTAAATCCCACATAATACTAACAGCACATGGGTACCTAACTCTGAGGTGGTCTGAGGTGGTGTGTGTGTGTGTGTGTGTGTGTGTGTGTGTGTGTGTTTGTGTGTGTGTGTGTGTGTGTGTGTGTGTGTGTGTGTGTGTGTAGCCAAATATATGAGAATAACAAATTTGATTGAAAACTCAGATATGAGAAAAATTATAATTAAATAAAAATAATGGTTAAAACTCGGAGGAGTCATCATGAACACTCATCGTACAAGTTAGAGGGGTTGAACCTTGACCAAGAAATAGAACATTAAAACTTTTATTAGAAAAGGTTAAAAGTTAAGGTCAAAAACACTTACGTCTTGCAATACACAAAAGAAAAAAACGTAGAGACTTTTATTAAATGTTGGAATTGAATTTTTAGGGAGAACTTAGTTATATAATTATCACACATGCAGGTTAAAGGTCACGATCAGTGTAGATAGCAATATGAACACAGAAGTGTTAAAAGAAATGTTGGATTATAGTGGAAGAGAAAACTAAATGAACGAGTGTGAGAACAGGCGTTAGTGTTGCAATGATAAGGTTCAGGTAAATTGAGAATTGGTTGTTGCCTCAATCATTGTGTTGAAAATAAACTAAAAATAGTGAGGGTTGGATATATTCATTTATATTACACGTGCTGTCTTTTGCGGGTGAACGATTTAATGGTATAATCCGAGGCGACAGTAAAGCGTTGTTATCTCTCACGTCTCTGTTAGGATAATCTGGGTTTATCTTGAACTGTTGTTACCTATTCTGCCTTTACTTAACTGGCTTTGTATACATAAGCCAAACTAGAATATAACCTCGTCAAACTAACTTGAATATATCCTTACCAAACTAACTCCGGATGATTCCTGGATAACAGTCTTAGGGCTGGTGACTCCTGGAAGACAGTCTTAGGGCTGGTGACTCCTGGGTGACTGTGTTAGGGCTGGTGACTCCTGGAAAACAACAAGACACTCATCAAGAAAAACGAGGAACGTCTATGCAATATCAAGTTCTTTCATCCCTCGTGAAAGGGGTGGCGCTCATCTCTCTCTCTCTCCTCTCTCTCTCTCTCTCTCTACCCTCTCTCTCTCTCTCTCGTATGTGTGTGTGTGTGTGTGTGTGTGTATGTATGTATGTGTGTGTGTGTGTGTGTGTGTGTGTGTGTGTGTGTGTGTGTGTGTGTGTGTGTGTGTGTGTGTGTGTGTGTGTGTGTGTGTGTGTGTGTGTGTGTGTGTGTGTGTGTGTGTGTGTGTGTGTGTGTGTGTGTGTGTGTGTGTGTGTGTGTGCGTGTGTGTGTGTGTGCGGTGTGTGTGTGTGTGTGTGTGTGTGTGTGTGTGTGTGTGTGTGTGTGTGTGTGTGTGTGAAATCAAATTATTATTTTTATTCTTTCTCTCATCACCCGCTTTGTTCTCCTCCTCAGACAAACCTCGGGCCTCGTAATGAGTGTATGATATTTCACGTTATTTAGAACACGTGATACATATACGAATGATCTCAATCCCCTTTTTAAGATAAGCGGATTATAACTATTGTTAGCAAACTAATCCAGAATCTTGGAAAGACTTCAGTATCCATACAAAGTTTCAAGAACATCTATCGACTCCCTCAAAAGTTATTATGTTCATATGAAGGGTTGCTACGGACACAAACGGGACCAACAACTTTTGTGATTCCTGTATATCATATGAGCTCTTTGAGGAAGGTATCAATAAAAAGTGACAGTATATGACGTGACAGCGAGAGGATAGTCAATAAGGATAAACAAAGGCAACAACAGCCCACAACACAACACAACACAACACAATCCTGTGATATAAGCTTCACAACTCAGTGTCACTAACATAGTCTTACAAGAGTCCCTGATAATGATGTGGAAGTGCAGTGTTGACTTCCACCGTGTCTGTTCGTAGTGAAATTATGTAAGACCTGAGTAAGACTGAACACACAAACAGGACTGGAAGACTCTGGCCGGCAAAGACCCCCTTTAACAAAGACTTGACTCATCACAGCTTATAACTTATCTCAACTCGAAATAAACTGAATTCACATAGATTTTGTACGTAGGAATAATTTTTTTTATCTAAATGGTACAGTCCCCTTCACGAGTGCGCGTTTCCAGTGGCTCGTCAGGTTTTGTGCAGTGTGGCAGCCCCGTGTTTGTTTACATTCGACAGAAGGAAACTTGCAATAGTAAACATACAATGGAATCAAATTAAAACAATATTAAAACAAATATCTCAATAATAATGATTTGTGGAATGTTTATATGTTTATACTTTGACAGCTAGTTAGGTACGCTCTTATATCTCAAATCACAAGGTAAAAATAACCAAAGAGCCCTTAAAAATCCGAGCTCTAAATTGCATTAAAATTATGAAGTTATTTCCACTGCTATGGCTCCGTACCTACAGTATCTACCCAAGTGTCATATAATCAATTACCTCGTGCTATTCAGTTGTTATAATAGCCTGTTACTTTAGATATAGAAGAGCTTGTTATCAGGTTCTATGTGTTAATATTCTGTATGTAAAAGCTTACTGTTTCTTATGGTAAAAATACAAAAGGATTACGTTTGAATTTTTGTTTTTAATGTGTAACGCTGACAGGAAAAGTCTTTCCTTGGTACATCCAACACTGACGTTTTTCGAATGCTTCAAAATACCAGCGATATAAATTATGCCCAAAAGCCTCCGTGTTCCTCCACCCTCATCACTCCCTCCTACATTGAACCGCCATACAGCACTACGTCGTGGGGCTCTGCTCTCATTTCCAAGGCTTTCAACCCAGCAGTCAATAAGCTCTGACATGATCTTTAATCTCTCTCTCTCTCTCTCTCTCATATACTGCGATCATGAAAAGTGAAGGAGGGATGTGTATTTTTGCAGTCTCTCTAAGATTAAACTGCAGGGGGGAAGCCTCCTGGAAACGTACTTGCTGAAAGCCGCGTCCTCGAAGCCAGACGAATTCTCAAAACCCATTCCCCTTGCACATCCGAATTTTTGTTCAAAAACCACGGATTTACTTATGTTCAGGTTGTGGTTACATTAGGTAGGGTTAGGTCACGTTAAGGGTTGGTTAAGTTAGACAATGATCTTGTTACCACGTGTATATATATCATTCCCTCTGAACCTCTTCTCTCATTCCCTTAGCAGGTTCATGTGAGGGCTTGAAGCACGGCCACACCTAACATAACACCGTGTGGTCACCTGCCTGCACACACACACACACACACACCCCCAACTCCACTCTTAACTGCTTGTCATTATGTTTTAAGGAAATTTAAACCGTCCTTCACTCAATACTCCCGTGTGAAGGATATTAACCCAGTTGTTTATTATTTTAGGGTAGAATAATATATTTCAATTATGATTTTAATGTCTTTTTTGGTGTGAGTTCAAGTATACTTTCATTTTGTTATTTTGTAAATACAGTATGAGCAGAATTTGTTCAAGTGTTGTGTTTACTTATTTTCTATCTATTTATTCACCTGGCGTGTGGACGAGTGGATACAGCACTCGACTCCTATCCTAAGGGTCGTTGGTTTGATCCCAGGGCACCCTCGGTACAACCAGCTGTAAATGGATATCTAACTTTACAGAGGCGGAGGTGAAGTGGTCAAGTGCAGTGTTGGCCACGCAGCCTCCTCATGTACCCAAGGCTTAGTGTACAGTGCACCGTATTCTAGCTGTCCCAAACGGTCCGTCAGGCTTATGAGACCCACTTTTACATTCACCTGGGCGTCACACCTGAGGAAGGAGCGCTGTGAGCCCCCCCCCCACCCAGACTGCAGGTGAGGGTTGTGACGTGATATGCTTGCCTATGTTTCTTTTTTTCGTGTTTATTTTTCTTTCCTACCATATTATTTTTATGGACTTTTTTTCGTCTCTTGTTTTTCTTTCGTGTTTATTTTTCTTTCACAATGTTTTTTTTTTCTGGTCGATATTTTCTTCCATTTTCAATTTCATTTTATATATTTCTTTTTCTTGCATTACGTTTTCTCTCTTTTCCTTTATTGTGTTTTCCGTTTTTTTTCTCTTTCTCCTCGTGTTTCAACAGTTTAAGAACCTCTCTTTTTTAATCAAAACTTACAGGAGTTCGACCACCCCCCTCCCCACCCATTGAGAAGGCAGTGCGTGTGAACCAGTAGAAGCCATGTTGAACAAGACTATACTCGCGAGAACGTGAGTGACGTGTCGGTAACTCAACAATAGCGGCAGACCAGGTCACTCTCTCAGATTGAGTTTCCGTCAGTCAACAGTCTACAGTCTTACCAGTCGTCACCTTTGTTCGTCCACTCTAGTAACATCAGTACTAGCACAGTCTAGAATCACTAATGCCTTGTATAGCACTAACAATTATTTCCCACTACACCTGTTGCATATTAATGACTACCTTATTAACATGTTGACATTTCTCTTCAATATGTTCAATGACCATTACTAAGAACAAACAGCTCAATATAAGCCAAAACGAACGAACATGTACAGAATATTATGTACCAAATCTAACCTAACGTAACGTAACCTAACCAAACCTAAGGTAACGTAACCTAACCAAACTTAAGGTAACGTAACCTAACCAAACTTAAGGTAACGTAACCTAACCAAACTTAAGGTAACGTAACCTAACCAAACTTAAGGTAACGTAACCTAACCAAACCTAGTGGATCAAATTAGCTGAGTGCTGCCAAAGAGTCCTCACGTACTTACACACAGAGTAAACACCTTTGTAGAGGCTATTGGGTGTGCTGAGATCCATGTTGCTTACTAAGTAGTTATACAAGGCCTGTAAAATGGTACTATTGGCAGACGATATTGACTACCAAATGACCTCTCATAAATCTGGTGTTATATATTGGTCAACATCACGTGTAGCCTATAACAACTTGTCTTTTCTTTTATTTCTTCAACCTTTAAGAAGCGAGATAATAACTTGTCAGAACATTTATATTTTACTGGAGTGTTTACATAACTGTGTTTCTTTGTTCAAGTATGAAAGCTTGCGTGTTTGTGTTTGTGTTGGTGTACAGTTGTCAATACATCCATTTTCACGTGTGAGTATATGAGTGTTTTTTATTTCTGTACATATCTGTATATGACTGTCCTTTTGTCTGTATGTTTTTAAGTGTATTGATGCATATAGACAAGCTGATATGTGAGCATGGGTGTACAATACTCTGCTATCGCCTATACAAACGAACGAGTACATATATGTGTATGTATATGTGGCCAGGTCTCTCTCTCTCTCTCTCTCTCTCTCTCTCTCTCTCTCTCTCTCTCTCTCTCTCTCTCCAGGAGAGAACTGCAAAAAATTATTAAAATTAACGTTGAACCTAACCCAACCTAAACACAACATATACACAGCATACACAGGAAAAATTTGAAAATTTTCAGAGATATTTGACAGTGACTGTAAAATATATATATATATATATATATATATGTATGTGTGTGTGTGTGTGTGTGTGTGTGTGTGTGTGTGTGTGTGTGTGTGTACAGGAGGTGATAAACCCCCACCTTTACACACCAAGAATCACTTACAGCTGTCAGGTCGCATCATCACAAGAGCCAGAACACCTTAATGGATGCCAGCCATCCTTCATATCCCGGGGAGTGAGCGACGTCACTTTCTTATTTAATTAACAATGAGACGGAATAATGGTGACCTTAACAATGCAAGATATCTGTATTGTGAGTTGAGTCATTGTACTGATGATCGACTACAGTGTATTATCACCTTTGACTATTGTATGCTATTGATGATGCTGCAACTGATAAGGTTATTTCCATCGTTATAACTGAATGGAAAAATTTATTTATACATAGTCGCCGAATAATCGTTAAAAAGTGACTGACGTTTTTGCCAAATAGGAATACCATTTTTGTTTTTCGTTTTATTGCTACAACTTAATAGATAAATAGATAGATAGACCGAAAGATAGATAGTCAGTAAA